ACTGTCACGAGTTATGGCACGCAGCAATGGGCATACGGAGTGTGGTAAAAGTGGCTTAACATATTAAAGTAGAAATAGACAAAAGGAAAAGGTCTATATACACGATGTCTGAGATAGACACGTGATTCAGCACGTGACGGGCACTTCGTGAGATGCGGTTACTATCCCTGTTACGTGACAGCTTTGGACCATGGACTGAAACCTGTCGCCTGCGTGGCGGTCATCCATTCAACATCGGGCAGAGTCCACTTCTCGTAAAGCCGGCCATGCGAATGAGACACCACATAACCGCCATGTGTTCGAATGAACAGATCGCACAAGTAGCAGGCGGATTTGCTGCATCCAATTGCTCGCGGCGCCGGCGTGTGTGGCTGATGTTCCAAATAGAAAACCTGTTGTATCTCTGCGTGCACGAAGCAATCGTGGGCAACTCCTGGACGACGGACGCCTGAGGGTGCTTCCAAAGCCATGACGTCGATATTGCTGAACACATGCCGATAGCTGGGCTTTCGAGCGAGTCGAGCTAGATCCTTACACGTGAAGAAGTATCTGGCCAACTTGTCGACCTGGCGTATCTCCGGATTTCAGATGCTCCTCAGCTGAGGTTGAGCTGCCCAGGCGTGCGACTTCCACGCAGCGCATGACGATCATCTTGAGGACGTCCAGCAAGGCGTTGATCTCCACGTGATGCTGAACAAGTTTTAATGTGTTCACTAAGTCCTCTAGCCGTTCAAGAAGGGATGTGACATGCGTAGAAGACCGGGAGGTATCCCGTATCCCAAGTATGCAGCTCCGCAATCTGTCTTGTAAGGGAAGCTGCGGTGTTTTGAAACGGCGAGGTTGTGCCATCCATGATGGACGCAGTCGACTGAGAAGGCGGCTACTACTGAAGAGGAGCACCATGTTGAGTAGCTCCTCTCGAAGTGCATGCTTCAGGCCGTCTGCAAGCACGTCAGATCTCGGTCATGGGAGATCTCTCGGAAGGTATACCTTTCCTGCTAATCTTGCTCAGGTGTGTCATAATTTTTGCGAGTTCACGACGGGCGCTTGATGACGGGGTCGTGTTACCAGCGAGCACAACCTGCAGCCGTTCGGGGTATTCACGCAGGGCCACAGTAGACACGAACTTGACTCCTTCGTTGCGATGGGCAAGGAACGCAATCGAATTGGTCATCTGGATTTCGTCTTCGATGGAAAGGATGTGGATGTGAGCTCGTGGCGTCGCTCCCGCATAGTATGCTCGTGGTTCGGATGGGATATTGGTCAACTGCTGCAAAGACGCGATCGTCCGATGAAACTCAGCCTTCAGCGGAGGGGCCCAAAAGTTGGATGGGCTGTCCATGGTTGCTCTCAGTGGTCGTGTACAAGCCCTTCTGAAACCTTCGGATCTGACGCCGGTCTGCGTTCGAGGTGTCTCCTGAGATACGTAATGGCTCACTTCATAGATTTATTCCTTCTCAATTGCACCTGTCGTGCTGGGGTAGGTATTGGTGCCCAATGTTGGGTGGTTTGTGCTTTAGTTCGGCCGTTTTGGTTCGCAGCCAACCTTGGGGGAGGGTGGCCTCTCACTGGTAACTGTCGGACGGCCTCCACCAACCCCCGTCGTTGGACCATAGACAAACGCCGCGTCTGCCCAGGCGGCGACAAATCGCAGTGGATGTGGCCCAGACTGGTATGCTTTAGCCGCTCAGGCTTCACACAGAGGCCAAGATGCTCAATCCTTAGCCAGACAGAACCTTATCAGAACTACCAAACTCCGCCACCAAAGGCAGCACTGCTAGCAGACCTACCTACAAAATCCAACGACGGGCCCACCAGCCTCCTGCACTAGCGAGAGTACCTCTCCACTCAAGTTAGGCAACGTTGTTATCCCCAAGAACATACATACCTAACACACTTGCCCAGGAGTGGGAAATGTGGGTACTAGCTATCAAACTTGCAAATGCGTTTCTGAGAAGCATCGCACACGATCCACCTTATTGCAAAAGGCTGTCCAATGATGACTCCGAAGAGGTTGTGCGCCCAGTATCTCTCTCAGGGGACGGCAGCGTCGTGTCAGGACAAACAGCCTCCCTTCGCCAGAGCACCTACTCCGGCGCACTCGCATTACTCTTGCCGCCTCCATGCTTACTGTGCTCTATGGTGCCCTCTCCAAGTTCTGGGCTGCCACCATCGACTCTTCTCTCGTCGTCACCACGGACGTGTACACCTACCACAGCACCTTCATGTTGTGGCCGAGCTCACAGGTCCTCAATGAAGGTCTTCCGCGCGCGGCCTGAGTGGTTATCGGTGATCAGAAGTCCCACCCCTTGGCGCAAAGGCTGCAGCTGACGCACACGCTCATTCTGTCCGGTCCGTACTGGGGTTCGTCATGAGCATTGCCTTTGTGGCTGGCGCGGAAACGTTCGCCGAAGGCTTCGTGGCGGAACGCCTACAAGTACACATTGACCATTAGCTGGTGCAGCGCGGCAAGCCGTTGGTGTTGGATGTCGCTTGCACGAAAGAATGGAGATAGCGATGCTGTACACTCGCTGTATCTTTGGAACCGGCCGTGGCGCTGCACTATGCACTAGTACTTCAATCCCTTGCTTCTTTGACCCATTCGACCGCCCACGAGTAGGAGGTCCTGGTCAGCTTTCGTGGCTGGCGCGCGCTGGAGCTGGCTAGTTTGATGCACGCATCGCGGGGCCTGACAAGTTGTGCGTTAGCCGCCAGGAACGCCCTGTTTCTTACCCGTCGTACAAGCGACGCCATTGGCCGCCATAAGGCTAGTCTTGGACCCAGAGAACTTCCTAGTCAGGCTGCCTGTCAGGCGATTTTCTTCGAGACTGATGTACATAAGTACGAGCACAGACCTGGACGCTTGCTGACCATGCGCTACCTTGACATCATGCCAGACCGCAGGGTAGCCCGCGGCTAACGAATCGGACGGCTCCCGCGCCACCCCAACCGTCCCGCCCCATTTACGCCGTAGCGTGGTGGAAGCTCTGAGCGATACGCCTGTACATAGTGGCCTTCCTAGCACTTCCTTGTACCAAACGGTCCCCACGATCTATGCAGCGAACAGATGCCACAGTGTGCAGCCTTTTCGCGTGGATTGAGGAAGGACGTGCACTTCGCTGCCCGTCAAAAGCATATAGGGCCTTTCGGGGGTCGTGAACGCGTCGATGTCTAAACCAACCGGAAGCCTAGTCTCCGCCGCCGACGTGGAATCTTGTTCGATTGAATCCGTATATTCTGCCTGAGGATCGTGAACTCTCCATGAGCCTAAATTTCGATGATAATCATTGGCGGCCGCAGTATGCTGATTCCTGAGGATGCGTGAATGCTTTGGCGCAGATGCAATATCTAATCACTTGTCATTGAGGAGTCGCAGCGGATGATGACGTTATGAGGAAAGTATGATGATGAATCGCGAACCAATTCAGTGAGCATGAGGCTTGCGTTTGGTAGTGGGCATGCATGACACTATGTGAACCATGGGCTCTCATTCGACCTCTTCAATTCGGCCTTATTGCCTAGCGTGTGAAGTAAGTTGACCGGCTGTATCTCAAACCCTAGTCCCCGCAGATGGTGCACTATTCAGTCATCGTGACTCATATAATCATATAAGAAGCATCATTGGTGTTCAATGGCTCGGAAATTCTGTGTGCCTTGTATTGGCAGGCGCGCCTGAAGAACTTTGTGTGCTGCCGACGACGCCATGCGGATATCCCAACCCAAGAAGGAGAAGCTCGAAGATCGCAACAACACTCGTATGCCTCTAGCGAAAGACTTGTAACATACTTATTGTTCACTATCGACGCCTACATCCGCCAGTCCGTCCGCTGTGCAATACTCAACATCATTCTACTCATCTACAGGTCAAGCATGTCTTTTATCGTGACCGAAATAGCTCGCTCCGACCTTGATACACCTCCAGCATGTGATGCCACAATCGAACGCTTTCAGTGTGTCGCTTCTTACAACTGGATCGACAAAGACCCGCCGACTATCGCGGTTCCAGGTAAGATGAATGCATTCACCTCATTCAGGTAATATCCTAACCCATCGGAAGGCCTTCCACCTCTTTGGGCCCCGCCATCGAAGCCCCCACGAATGACACCTGACTCTGGAATAAGATTCATTGATCAAAACGCTGCTCGATGGCCAGAATATCCTTTGGAGCCTTTGTTTCGTGCCGTTTGTGCACAAAAGCCTGAGTTCGAGCTGAGTGATGTCGACGTTGTTACCGACAGAAACAATGTGCGAAAGCTGTTGCGCTTCGTGGAGGCATCCGCGTCTGATAGTTTCGAGATCAAGGCTGAGATAGCTGGCAAGAAGACACTATTGCTTACACGCGTGGAGGAAAACCCGACGGAAATCATTAAAGGCTTCAGGGGCTTCGGTCACAACTTCGAAAAGACATACACGAAAGGACTTACAGGAAGCACTGGTCATCACAGAATTGTGTCCTACTATTTCGGCGGAATGAGGTTCCTTTTGCGGCATGAAACCGACGGATATGTTGCCAATGGAGTCGGTTCGGGTATTGCTGGAGCGACGTCGGACCCTGTCGATGAGCTGTCTAATCGTCTGGGCATAATGTCTGTTTCACAGGCACCCGAACCGATAAGGGATCGAATGACTATTGTCAGCACGAAAACCAGGTCCGTTGATGTAGAGTCAACTCTGGAAATCAAGACCAGAGCTGCCAGTCGGACGCTTGCGATGGAAGAAGTTTTTCCTCAACTCTGGGTCTCACAGACCCCGCTCCTTGTTGTTGCCTACCATCAACAACACCGCTTTTCAGACGTCAAGCTTCTTAACGTGAAGCAGGATGTGTGTGATTCGGAATCGGCCAACCGAGAAAATCTACGGAAATTGGCTTTTCTCATCAAAAGCATCCGGCAGGTGGTGGAAGAAAGTAATGGCCGGCGTGCTCTGGTGAGATACAATGGGGAATCAGCAGTACAAATCACCAGCGGTCTACAGAGCCGAGCATTGGCAGATGATCTTTACTCGATTTGGGATGAGTCGAAACAGAGTGAAGGCACAGCCATATCAAATCGCAGCGAGCATCCTGGCATTGAGCCCATGATGCCCTACGGGTCTATGTCAAACGCGAGACAATGTGATCATGATCTGGACAACAAGTCAGCTATAGGGCAGCCGACAGTCGCTATCGGGACTTCTACAAATACCGAAGACAGCGCATCGCATGCCAAAATTATTGAGGGCGGCTTGCGCTATGGGTTTCGAAGGATCATTCGCTCTATGCCAACCCGCCTCTCCGACTATCATTCTCTTTGCGAAACTCTTCAATTTCGCCAGGTTGACGTCCTTGCAGGGCGCTCTTTGCGCGATATCATGAGAGACATGAGACAAGGAAAAGACGATTGGGATCCGGATGAGCGGCATACGATCGCAGGTTTCAAAAGTATGGCACGCGACTCGGCGTTCAGGCTGCTTTACGCTTTCGTTCTTGATTTGCCCGGAGTACGCGATCAAAATATGGCCTTCAACGCGACTATGTTTGTGGTTTCCCATCGCAGGATATTCAAGTACAAAACACGGAGGATGGTGCGAGAGGCATTTGAGGAAAGGTTTCTCGTGTCTCGCAAGCAACGCGAAGGCCTTGACAAATGGTCTATCGGCGATTCTCATTGTGAAGATCTGAGAGAAGACGCGGAGGAGACGACAAGTGAGGAAGAGCTGTATTACTTTGACTCTGACTCGTCGTGGTATTAAGTGAGGAAGCAACTGCTTTTGTGGCTTACAGGAGATGTTTTCTGTGGAGTAGGAACAGAAGCACAACCCAGGGTTCTCTGAGAGGTGGCCGTTTGCGAATCGTCAATCTGTGATGTAGCAATAAAGCAAATTGCAAGATTGACGAAGATTGAGATATTCCTGCCTTGAGTAGTGCTTCGAGGAGGCCAATACGGACTCCACTCAACTTTTCTGCCAAAGGGGAACAGCTCTATCCACAATACCACGCGACAATTTCCAGGGGCCAACGAGCCTGGTTCGTTGCCGCAGACCGGCCATCCGATGGCATTCGACGCCGCTTATTGGCAAGGTCTGGGAGGGAGTCTTGTCAACCGACATCAAATCGAGGCATGGGAAAGAGCAGGCGTGCAGGCCCTATTTCCGCCATCGAGCGAGGGAGATGAACACTCTGTGAGGATGCGTTTTCACCCGGTCCGAGTTGAGAAATTCATCACGCTGTTCATGAGAGCTCAATAAGTTCTGCGCAAGGTCTATGTCCGAGTTGATGAACGCTTCAATTGAGAAATCCCGAATGCACTGTCAACACTTGCAACTCCTTGCCCCTCGGCCGCCATCATTATCTCCAGGCATATCGTCGGCGCCTGCAATTTGCTCGTACGCTTAGCTCATGGTGCATGACCTAGCTCACTGACTCATCCAATCGACCTTGTGGAGGTACAGAATGAGAAGCATCTACGTTCAATGGTCTGGACGAGTCAGCTGTTGAGATAATCAGGCATAAAACCCAGCCGAGTGGCTTATATATCATGTACTTAAGATACTTAAGAGGTGCCTCGAATCTGAAGCGCCCATCCCTCACAAGATAGTGATGTCTTTCCGGAAGAGCGAGCAAACATACTGTATGGGTCTCAAAGCGTGGGCTGGCCATTGATTTGTGAATGCCAAAGCATGCGCCTCAAATCATCCGGCACAGCCTGCTTAACAACACGTGAAGGGTACACTTTGATCTCTGGAGTCTTTGCCGTTCTCTCCTATATCGCGACACAGTGACCGCCTCCATGCTCTTCGACAGCCTGGCGTAGTTGGTCCAAGACTGCGACCAACTTGCGGAGATCGGCCTGGTGTCTCTCCTCCCAATTGGTGAATAGAGCTGCGATATCGGTGATCTTCAGCTGATCGAAGGTCCCATTGGCGTGCTGCCTGATGATAAGCCAAGGCGTCCTGCCAAACCAGAGCTGTGACATGTACGCGCTTGGGCTCTTGGGCTTGGTTGCCGTCTTGATTTCTGCCGCCGTCGCTTGAGCCATCGGCGGTTGCGTTGGCAATTTGGGGCCAGCAGCGACCTCCCCATGGCCGTCTTCTACTGCCAACCGCCCCATTGCACCTTCCAGCGGCTCCGAGTCGCTGCCCTCGCCCATCTTCTCGTAGTATGCGTCCACCTCAAAACGTACCACGCATGCGAGATCGCCTAGCTGGTACCGAAGAGCCCGGTGATGTGCCGTGCTGTCTTCTAGACCAGGCGGGTACGTCGTGAACATGCGCTCGAAGTTTCTGCCCCACCCAGAGTTCTTGGAACCACTGATCAGCTCGCGGGCGGTCCTCTTGCAACGCTCAATAACTAGAGTTCGGTGGACGAGGTGTAGGTTGACGCGAAAGCTGTCTTGACTTCGGCCCGCAGAGAAATCGAAGAGCTTTCTAAGGCTGTTCCGGTTCACCAAGATATCAATATCATCAAAGCGAAAAGATGGGTTCATCGATGCCGTAGCACGAAACAGTGGCGCGAAAGGGAATTCAGGGGCGCGTGCCGCGTTCTGGTCCACGAAAAAGGTGCCTCGATCCTTCGGGATGGCAACCGGCAAGGGAACGTCCCGAAAGACTGCCGCGGAACCTATTGATAGTTACTCATGTGTGTTGTGCTCCCCAGGCACTTCAAGCTTACCAGGTATGTGGATCTTTTCATCCTGACCAACTGCCCAGTTGTAGCTGCAAACCAGTTCGTAACCTGAATCGCTAGAAACCGAGGCCTCTGACGGGATGAGAGAAGAGTGGCCAATGCTATGGATCACCCGACGATGCACATTCTTCCACAACCAGGCCTCGAGACGAGGTTTGTCGGTCCGACGAGATCGTGTGCCCTTTTAATGCTGTTGCTCGCTAGAGTGTTGTTCCATCGTGTGTATGTACCGCGTTCTCTGCGTAGCTCCTGGGGCAGGGTAGCGTGGTGCTACCGTAAGCTGGAAGAGCCGATGACAAGGGCGGAACATGAGCAAGCGTGAGAACACAATTGATGGCTCGCTACTGGTCACTGTCAGTGCCTGAACTGGCTACCCGGCTATGTAAGTATTCGGGAGACTACTCGCCCAGTACAATCGACAGGCATTCAGTCGGGGCAGCCAGACTGGCGCTCTCAAGGCGCCTGATAGGGCTCTGGAGAACACGCCATGACGAAGAAGGATCCAAAAAAAAGATAAGCTGCGGCAGTCAGTTTCAAACGTTTGGCTGTGCATACATACCTCGGGCTCACTCCGATTGGCCCATCAGGAGGCCCAAAACGAGGGGCTTTTCCGAGAAATCCTGGAGACATCACAAGCGACACGCGAAGGCTGTTGGGAAGACATCGTTTCTCTTCCTCATACAGTACCAGTGTGCCGAATCAGTCATGTTACACTGACTTTCCCGGAGCAGAACACTCTTCAACTTACGAGATGGTTTTTTCAGTCATTCCTGTCGCCACCTGAGATGGGCTCCTTCACGATAACCACTGTTAACCTCGTCCAGGTAATGTCCCGTCTTTCCAATCCGTGTATGATCACCCTAATTGTTAGAAGGCACGCTTGGGGCAATTCTGGTTGGTGAAATCACGTTACTAGATTACTTTACCCAAGCCACATTACCCCTGAGCTGCGAAGCAGATGCAGGAAATTGCTCGTATAAGCTCATACCGAGACCTGGCATTGCCATTGCGTGAATTTTGCTGTGGCACTGGAGACGACCCAGCCAGCACCGCGATAAGTACCGTATCTCACCTCTGCCAAAGGAGCTCGGGCACCATATGCGCCGCGATATCGGAGTCTATGGAAAGCGAGCCATCGGGGGGATTCGGGTTAGTTAATACTATCGAGACTCAATGGGGAGAAATAGGCTTGCCTATGTCATAATTGGCTCTTAGATTCACCGAAGGTTTGTAAACTTGAATATCCTCGACGCAGGGTCGTTGAACCAGCAGAGGGAGGTCAAGTACTCCTGCAGAAAGTCGAGGATGACTCGGAGTCAGGGCGAGAACAGCACTTGAACAATTTTGACACCCGCGATCGCAGGTGACACTGAGAACGAGGATATCGTCAATCCTCGGCCAGGTCTATTGTGATCTAACGTATGGCTCCTTTGATAATTGATTGGGCTTTTCGTAGCCACAACTCATCCATGGTCGCGTAATGTTTTCCTTCTCCGTACCCCCTTTGTAAGGACGTTGAAGCCGCGATGGCTACTCAAGATGCGGGATGTAGGAACCAGGGCTTCCGGGCATTGCAACGGCGGTGAGCAGGATGCTGCAATCATTCTCACAAGCATCACAGTGGAGGAACCGCAACCCAGCGACACTGCATTGAAGATGGCTGCCTTGAACTTCTTGGCAAGCCGAATTGTCGCAGCATTGTCATGATAGGAAAGCGCCGCTAACCAAGATGGCCGGCTGTCTCGTTGGCTTACAATAACCGCTCACAATCTCGATCAGACGTCGTAGAGCAAGGCTTGACCTTTGGTGGTCTTCGTGCCAATGAGTGATGTCATAGACCTCTCCGACTAGGCTTGCCGCCGCCAAGAGTGAAGGCTCAAGGGCGGGCACCAATCACCCTGAGTCCCGTTGGTATCGTACACCTACAATTACACAGCAACCACGACATTTTTCCTACATGCAACTGCCGGTACGTAAGAACGGCTGCGTCTGCAGTTCGTAGCATCCGCGATGCTGGCAAGTGGTATCAAGTCTCTCAAGCACTGCAAACGAAAGGTTGTCAGGACCGCGACTGGGGTAAGTTGTATCGTATGCCTGGTGGTGATCACTGAGATTCTCCGCACCGAGGCTGAGGTTCCGTGGGCGCCGCCCTCGCTACAGCGCAGCCGGTATGGGCAGGCTTTTCCAGTTGACTGAGTGCGTTGGGCTTGCTCGTAGACCGTGGCGCTGCATGCATCTGCATGTTCGATGGCTGCGGCCAATGAGCGCTTGTGCGAGGCTGACCCATGATACGCCTGTGAGAGGTAAATGGCCATCAAACTTGCTTGGCGGCGTCAATTCGCTCAAGATCTTTGCGCCACATCCGGTGTTTGTCTACTAGCCCATGGAGCTGCCCAGATACCTTCCCTCTCACTTGGCCGAAGGTCAGACAAACACCCATTACCGCTTACGGAGAGAGGGAGACGAGCTACGGCGGTGGCTACGCTGTGTTGAGCAAGAGACTGATGGTGGTGGTAGTCGACGGTCAGGGTGCCGTACCCGGGTTGCAGAGCCAGGCGGGTCACGGGTGATGCACTCCCATGTGAAAAGAGCACCACTAGTCAGTGGCGGGATATGCTCTGGGTGGCCCCTCTGTATCTCACAATCAGCTGCACCACGTGGCAGACTCGGAACGGGCGGCACACTGCTTAGTGAGCAGGGATAGTTTAGCGTCGCCAAGCACGTCTGACTCACACTGCCGTCGTCCAAGCTCTTCAAACGGCGCCGAAGGAGCGATCGACAGGTACAAGTTCACCTGATCTAACAGAGCGTATCTGCCCGTTGGTACGTGCCTCTTGCGCGGGCTCCACTGTGCTCGTTTGGCCGACCCGTGTCCATGTAGGCCGGAGGTCTGATATGGACGTTCGGATGTCATAGGTGGGTGGCCCCGAGGGATCAGAGTTGGGCAAGGTACTGGTGACTTCTAGCACTCGGGAAAACCAACCAACCAGGGATGTGCTGTGCACTGCATTGTACATACACACATAAATGGGTCTTCTTCCCCTTTGTATGCCCGACCGATTTGGGCTCGTAGTCGATCGTAAGACAGTCCTGGATACGTACATACATAGTTTATTACGCCCTAGTCAAGCTATTAAGGGCTCAGATGATTGTCTACATGATCTCCACCTTCGTTCATGTCCTTGCCTCCCAGAAGCCCATACGAGTACTGTTTATCTCCATATGCATTACCTCCAAGACTCCTTGCCAATGCTGCGGTTGCTCGTGATGTTAGTAACAGGCCATCTTGAGGTTGTCTCCCAAAGTGTTCGGCGTCCTATCGTCGGCGGCCGAAGCCGGTCCTGCTGTCGATGGCACGAGGGTGCGTGGGGGGATGTCGTCGGTTAGTGTGCTGTTGTGGGTTGTGGGTTGTTTCGCTGCTGGCTGATCTGTGCATCCAGCCTCTCCGTACACATCGCAAACTTGATCGTCTCTTTGACAACGTCTATACGTGGCGGCCATTTATCAGGATCAACTTCATCGCCATAACCTGGCTCGCCTTCTCCGCAGAGTCTTGTTGGTTGATACAGATTGCATCAACCCAAAGGAGATGATCCGGATCCGTGTAACGTTGACTTGTGATGAGAAGTGCCCTCATAAGATTTTGTGTGATCCGAATTGTGTTCTGCCCAATCTGTATCGTTTGTTTCGGCTTTTGGCCTTCCCATGCATATGGAAAGGCCGAGAATTTGGCATCGAGAGATCCCGCTTAGGATCTAGGAGTCTTTCTACAACAAAATCGACTTGTAATGGGGGGTCGCCCCGAGCAGGATGGTTTCTTCGAAGTCATATATTTGACGGCCCCAGAGGCTGGTACTGGTAATCGGACATATTGGTAGAGTAGTTCTGAATGTCTTGAGTGAAGCTGAACTGCGATTGTTCTTGGAAGAATAAAGCAGCTTGTGGCAAGCCATCTATCTCATGGAGATAGTACATCGTGCAATGAAGTCAACGCATTTGGATTAGTGATTGGTACATTAACATAGTCCTGAGCTTTGGTGAAAAGCTGTACGATACAATATTACCTTCCTGCTAGCACTGCTGGGTCCTTCTGCGCATCATGAAGAATCTTCTTCATTGAGGAGTAGAGCTCAGGCCTTTGCCTTTCCCACCTCTCACCACCTGGGAACACCCCTTTGCGTAACCTATTGACCCATGGAATCAATGGCTGATAGTACGAAGTAAAGTTCTCGCCTGCACTTCGGAGGAAATCGTCCTCATCAGTAACCTCCCCC